AGAGAGAGGCTACTTCCATCGATAGGATAAAAGAGAGAGAGAGAGAGAGAGAGAGAGAGAGAGAGAGAGAGAGAGAGAGAGAGAGAGAGAGAATGTAAATGCGTTTGTCTATCTATCGATGAGGTTCAGTAAGTCTCAAGGATTTGTGAGAGAATAACAAGAGTAAGACACATCGCGTAGTATCTTAATTCTTACTATCGAGGCTTCGTTTATCGAGTAGTATCTTCAAAAAACATGACGTCTCTCTACTGCTATAATGCATATATCCGGATTGACAGACAGGTACATTGATCGGTAAATAATATTCACGTCCCTCCCTTCCTTCCTTCCTTCCTTCCTTCCTTCCTTCCTTCCTTCTCTTTCCTTTCTTCCTTCCGTCCGGACGTATCTGGCGTCATTTACGAGTAGATACGAAACGTATCTGGTCTCATCTACCAGTCGATCGGACGTTTTACCGTATGTATATCGCCTTATCTACCAGTAGATGCAGAAAAGAAAAAAGAAAACTTGCATGCTCTTTCCTATGAAGCATTGTCATGTTGCAATAACAAACATGTGTGTATATCTTTTATGTACACAAGTGGATGAGAGAGAGAGAGAGAGAGAGAGACACTCTCTCTCTCACACACACACACACACACACAACCTCCTGATCACTCGGAAACAATCTGCCACAGTCATGTTTTTTTTTAGTGTATAGCGAATATGACGACAAAAAAAAAAAAAAAATGATAAAAAAAACCGGCAGTGTAACAATGGCAGCCCCGCCCCCCTCTTCGTCCCTCTCCTCTGCCGCAGCGTGGCTGCGGCGGGTCCACTTGTTTGGAAAAAGGAAGGACCGGTCCTCGGGTGGAAGTGGACCCCAAAAAGAAGTGGGGGGCGTTGGACGGGTCCACAGGTGGAAGCGGACCCCAAAACAAAGTGAGGGCATGTGAACTTCAAAAGAGTCCTCAGGCCCAGGCGTTGAGGCCCGTCTTCTCAAAACAGGGAGGTCAGGCGCAACAAAACAGGCGTTTTGCAATTAGCACCTTTGACGATTTTCTGTGCTCGGAGGAACCCACAAAAAAATCTGAAATTTAGAGAATCCATTGATGAGGTCGTGTTCTTTCTAGGAAAAATATTAGAACATTAAAAAAAAATCATTTAGACCGAGAAATAATCATCACGCCGATTCGGCACATTTTCCATTTTTGCCACTCAGCCATGTGTGGGCCAACTTAAGAAGTACTCCAAATTCAGTGAGTTTTCACTCTCAGAAGAATGAGTGAAAAAACCCGAAAATTGGAGTACTCGTAGATTTTGTTGTGATCTTTCCTGGAAAAAGGCTAAATAAATTTTAAAAAATCATTCCAACTGCGAAATAGATCGTGGCCGCAATTTGACCCATATTTCAATTTTGTTATTCAGCCCATAGTTTGTTTGTCAATGCCCCCTGACGGGCTGTGAACGGTGGAGTGGTTCGGCTCAGAGGCATTTGCTGGACCTGTTTTTTAGCAGGCCCAGTCCCCCACCGATAGTTCGGAGCTATCCATAGTGGGTGAGTCTACTTCGGAAAGGTGCTCATATCAGGCCTTGAAAAAAAGTTGGACTGCTGGCAATGATTCAGCGGAAAATAAATCAATGGAAAGTAAAGACACACAAAACAAAACAAAACAGAGAGACACAGTTTTCGGTGTATTGCAATTGGCCATGGGCATCACCCTCACTTGTTCGTGTTTGTAGACGTTGCCCATTCGGGATCGAAGTCGCTATTTGTCGTTGATGTCGTGATCGTAAAAGTGGTGCATGCATCTGGTCAGGGTGAGGGCCGGGTGCACTGAACTGAAAATAGAGGGAAGAAGAAGAGAGACATTTGACTTACCGAGAGGGAACGGGTGCGAAAGCGAGGCAACAGGTGCGCCCGCCGCTGCTTTGGCCCCGTTTTGATTTTTCGACCAAAACTCGTGCAGTCCCATGGGCAGCTACCGGTCCTGCAGTTTCAAATAAGATGCCACCACGCACTAAACTGCCATGCCTTGTTTTTCCAGCCTTCCAACGACCCTATAACGAACGACGACGAAAAATGTTCTCATGGGCATAAAACGCACCCCTGACGGGCTGCGAACAAAAAATGGAATAAAACTAACTCTCTCTCTCTCTCTCTCACTCTCTCTCTCTCTCTCTCTCTCTCTCTCTCTCTCTCTCTCTCTCTCCCCCCATCTCTCTCTCTCTCTCTCTCTCTCTCTCTCTTGTGCGAGCTCTTAGTCTCATTGATTTGGCTTCCTTAGGGCTGTGTTCCCCGCGCCCACGCGGTAGACAATGCACATTAGGGCCTGGCTCCACTACCCTCGACGGGTGTAAAACGAGAATGTGAATCTTTGTCTAGAACCTGGAAAAGATACACCAGCATATTTTTTGTCTTTTGTGCATGTCAGGAGTAGTGGAGCCAGGCCCTTGTAATCACCCCTTTTTTTTTTCGTTTTTTTTTTCAATCAACCGTTTCGAGTGGGCCTTTTCACAAGACCACTCGAGGTCTTTCGAGGAAACGCTCGTGACAGGCTGGACGATCTCATCTTTTCGAAATGACCTTCGACACCCGCCAATCTGACACCTTTCTAAACTTTTTCGAAGGAACTTGTTCAAGACTGTCTAGCGAAGACAGGGCATCGATTTTGCGCGTTTCGAAAGCCTGTGTGGCGAGCCCCCAAGTCGAGGAAGCTACATTCCAAGGCTCAACAAGCCTGCAACTGCGCCTTTTCAAAGTGGCCGGCCGCGCTCGATATCAACGCAGGCCCGAATGGGAAAGCTCTTCCCAACACGTGTTGCTCCCACGAATAGATTGGATTTTTTGTTCTTGAACCCCCCCCCCGCCTCCCTTTCCTCCCCTCTTACGGCGTTCACCACCAGTACGTTTCCCAGCTATTTTTCTCCAATGCTGGTGCAAGCATGCTGCCACTTTCAGGGGCAGCACCGGCCAAAATGAGGCCCCCCCTGGCTCGTTTTTCTTTTGGCACGCAGGGCATTTGGAACATTGCGAAAAAGAGGCGTGGAAGTACTGGTGTGGTCCCTCACCAACTTCGTGCTCGAGAGGGTTCGCTTTAGTGCGCTGTGCGGGGAGGCCCAAAGATGAGAATTTAGGCCCAAAGATGAGAATTTCTCTTGTTTCGAGGGTCTGACAGCTCTCGAGGGACTCTCTATTTTTTCTTTTGAGAGCAGAGAGTAGCCGAGAGAGACCCTATGAGCCTCAGAGTATACTCATACCATGCAAAATAGTCCATTCAGCGGCCAGATGGAATTCCCCTTTTACAAGGGCTCGAACTGGCTCCTGATTTTGCTATTTTGCGATTTTGAGGGCCCCTCATACTGCGATTTATAATAAGGGTCTGAAAGGCCATCCTGTCAGAAAATCGACAGAAGAAAAAAAAAAAAAAAAAAAAAAAAGAATCGAGAGAAGATTGGATTGGCTTGGGCTACTTAGATATTGGAAAAAAGGGGAAGCAAAAAATTGCGATAAAGTATCTAACAGTTTTTCACCCAGCTCGTGAAAGAGATCGCATGGCCCCGCGCCCCACTGTACAACAACCTAAAAAATGTATCTGTCGCTCTCTGGTGTCCCGATACATTCAAAACGATGGCTCTTTTTCGAGAGTGTGTGGTCCAACCCGTAGTCCAGATTCATGTACAATGCCGTGCAGCGGAGTGAGGCCCACAAAACTTGTTCCCCCTAGGTACCTTGTGTTTCCGCGCGTGCCCGTGGAAGCTGTAGCGAGCGCCTCGTGCCTCCCACAAAACTTGTTCCCCCGATGAGTACCCATGCCGCCGGCGCGACGACGGCCAATTTTTGCTTTTGCTTTTGCTTCCGCGCGTGGCGGTGGAAGGTGTAGCGCCTGGTGCCTCGCGCCCTTGTGTCTTCTGCCTTGTGCCGACGTCTTCGGGGGCGGCGCCGCGGGTCGCGAGCGAAGCAAGCGCTCGCGCAGCGGTTTCATGGCGGGGCAGGCGATGCAGCGGAGGAGGGCGCAAGCAGCAGGCGAGTGCGCTTCGTCGGGAGGACGGCGGAAGAGGGACGCGGTCTGTCTGTCCGCCAAGGACGTATTCACGCCAGTTCGCCTGGGGACCGAATAATCCTTCCGCCGTCTCGGAACATCAGCTTGATTGATCGATCGATCGATCGATTGATTTGATTGATTGATAGATTGATCAACGGGCCCGAGTGCGATTAGGTCGGGGGGCAGGAGGAGTTGCGATCCAGCAGAGGGAAGCAGGGTGATTAGGGTGATTTCCCCTCCGCACGGATGAACGAGAGAATAGGGTTATAAACAAAAAAAAGCCGCCGGCCGACAAGGAGAGAGGGAGTGGTAGTCGAGGAGTGGAACTGTTTTGCTATCTTCATTCGCAGGATTTGCAACCGTTGACGATCAATCACAATGAAGAAGAAGCAGAAGGGAAAGGAGGGAAACGCCGTCAGGTACTGCACTAGGAATCAGGCGCTCAAGCGGCTTCAGATCAGTCTTCCTTCCTTCAGGCGGCTATGTATCTTGAAAGGGATTCATCCCCGAGAACCGAAGAAGAAGCTTCATGGCCTAAACAAGACCTACTATCATGTCAAAGACATAAAGTTCTTGTCGACGGAGCCGCTGCTGGAGAAGGAGAGGGAAATCAGAGCTCACGAGAGAAAGATTCGCAAAGCCAAGGCGAAGTGGAACGACGATTTGGTCGAGAGGTTGAAGAAGAGCACCCCAACGTACACTGTGGACCGGCTTGTCAAGGAAAGGTACCCCTCATTTATCGATGCCTTGAGGGATCTAGACGACCCCCTAACCATGATCCACCTGTTCGCCGTCCTGCCGGCCGACAACAGCCACAGAATTCCTTATCAACGGGTCCACAATGCCAGGCGGCTGTCGCTGGAATGGCAGGCGTATGTCATTCGAACGCATGCCCTTCGCAAGACGTTTGTATCAGTGAAGGGTGTGTATTATCAGGCGGAAGTGGTTGGGCAAAAGGTAACGTGGTTGGTGCCGCATCCGCTCACCCAAGTGCTTCCGGAGGATGTCGACTTCAGAGTCATGTTGACCTTTCTTGAGTTCTATGAGACGCTTTTGGGTTTCGTGAATTTCAAGCTGTATCATTCCTTAGGGCTCTCGTATCCGCCAAAGCTGGATCCCAAGCTTGAGAAGGCGGCGGCAGAATTGTCGGCGATTATGGCAGCGCTTGCCAAGAAGAAAGCAGAGGCGGCGCCGCCGGCTGCTGGAGATAAGCAAAAGAAAGGAGGAGGAGGAGGAGGAGGAGGAGGAGGAAAGGAAGATACTGCGATCGAGAAAGGGGAGTCGAGAGAGGAATCAGCAGGGGGAGGAGGAGGAGGAGGAGGAGGAGGAGGAGGAGAAGGGAAAAAGGAAGATCCAGAGAGACGGGAAAGGGAGAAGAAAGAGGCACGGCAGGAGTTTCTACAGGCGGAGTCGGCAGCGCGGTTGGCTAATCTGCAGAGCAGGTTTTCTGCGATGAGGGAGGAAGAGGAGGAAAGGAAAAAGCAGGTCATCCAGAGCGATGTGGTTATGGAGGAGGAGGAAGAGAGTGGAGAGAAGGAGAATGAGGAGGAGGAGGAGGAGGTGGACGATGAAGAGACTAAAGTCTGTTCGAATTTGTTCAAAGAGTTTGTCTTTTTCTTATCGCGAGAGGTAGCGAGGGAGTCGCTTCTGTTTGTCATTCGAGCCTTTGGCGGCAAAGTATCTTGGGATGGGGATGGCGCACCTTTTCCCGAGTCTTCGGAAGCCATCACTCATCAGGTCGTAGATCGACCGACACAAGGGCACCGGTTTTTGTCAAGGGAGTACGTCCAACCTCAATGGGTATATGACTCTGTAAACACGCGATTACTACTCTCCTCAACGAGTTATACAGTGGGAGCATCTCTTCCCCCTCATCTCTCTCCGTTTGTAGATAACGAGGCAGAGGGGTACCTGCCAGAGTACGCAGAGACCATCACGAGGCTGAAGGAAGCAATTGCAAAAGCGGATGCAAAGGCTGGGGTTCTCCCATTGCCTGGGGCGGAAGAGGAGATTGCGGAGGGAGAGAGAACGATAGCCGCCATGCGAGCGGAAGAAACGGCGGCGGCGGCAAAGGAGGCGGAGCTGGCGAAGCTGGAGGCAAGGTATACTGAAGATCTAGCGGAAGAAATTGCGGGTGTACCCTACTCCGAGTCATTGTCGTCGAAGAAGAAGACGAAAAGGAAGGGTAGAGATAGAGACAGTTTTGCGCAAGCAATTGAGGAGGGGAATGAAGAAGAGATGAAGTCTGGAGGTGAGGGCGGGGAGGACGAAGACGAAGAGGAGGAGGACGACGACGAGGAAGAGGAGGGAGAGGAGGAGGAGGAGGAGGAGGAGGAGGAGGAAAAGTCCGCCGATCAAAAGGTGAGGGCTAAACAGCAGCAGGTCTCGCGGAAGAAGAAAAAGGTCACGTTCGCAGTTGATGAGGATGAGGACGATGCAGCTATGGCGCAAATCATGATGCCAAGGAAGGCAAGGAAGTTATACGAGGCCATGCAGATGGGAATAGAGGCGAAGAGAGCAGGTGTTGAGCGGCTTCAGAAACGGAGGGAAGCGTTGGCAGAGCAAGGAGGGAAAAAGAGTAGTGGTTGGGACCACCAGAAGAAGGGAGAGAAGGGTGCACTGAAGGCCTCGAAGAAGAAGAAGGTCCATAAATAATGACACTTTTTTTTTTTTTTTTTTTTTTTTTTTGAACTCGGGTTCTCAATGAGGAGGCATCTCCTTGTTGTTGGTTGCTGCCTTTACGCCATGTGAAGTTTTTGCACGTGCGGGAGAGTTGTCTTGATTGATTAGCGAGAGAGGCTGTGTTTTCAGCATTTGAAATTTTAAAAATGCGAAATGCGATTCAGCGGCTGTTTCTTTTCAAAAATTGAATGATTCGAACTCACGATCTTGTACATAATTTGGTTCATGTCATTGGATCTGGAGTCGAACTTGGGTCTGTATTTCAGCAGTTCATGGGTGTACCAACTGAGCTAGGCGGCTCGGTACCACGATTTTTTTTTTCCCGTGTGTGCCATTCCGCCATGTGGGCTTGGGAAAAAAAAAAAAGGACACCATTCCGCCATATGGGCTTTTAGGGAAAAATTTGACGGTATCTTCTCTGCAGTTGCCACTTTCCCTTTTTTTTTTTTTTTTTTTTTTTTGATCGTCCGATGGATCAGGGATCAGATAATTAAACTGATCAGAAAAACAGATACACTGCACTTTTATCTTTTTAGCCAAAAGGTCGAGAAAGGTATCATCTTTAATTTTAGGGTTTATCAGAAAAGATAGAACTCTATTTACAAAATTATGTGGAAAAAAAAAAAAAACAAAAAAAACGCTTGCTTGTATGGAAAACCGCGTCGTCCTTTTGGACATCTGTTAATATTGGAACGATGCAGTGA